TAACCATTTTAAATTTAGTACCTCACCTGGGATTGATTTTATTAAAACAGAATATTTAAAGTGTTTTTCAGATTATTTTCTTCTTACAACATTGGAAGTTTTTAACTATTAAAAGAAATTCTACTTTTCTGGAAAAATGGATTGAATCTTTGATTATTCCAATATATAAAAAAGGCAATGTGTATGATCCCAAAAATTATTGGCCTATATCTTTGATTCCTGTAATTGGTAGACTATTTATGTCTTTATTAAATAAAAGATTAGAAGATTGGATTATTAAATATGATATTTTGTCAGGAGCAAGCAAGTTTTCAACCTGGTCAATTTTGCTAGGATCAAATATTTGTATTAAATGCATTGGTTCAATTAAAATTGCAGGAAAAAGAGGAAAACTTTATGCTCTTTTTGTAGACTTTTGAGGATTAATCATAAAGTTTTATGGTCTCTATTAGAAAGAATAGGTGTGAATAAACAGTTTCTTGGCCTTATAATTGATATATACTCCAAAGCCACTGCAAGAGTAAAGATTTTAGCCAAAATGACTGATTCATTTGGTATTGACATTGGAGTTTTTGCAGGATGAGATTCTAAGACTACTGCTTTTTAATTTATATGTTAATGGTTTGATAGTGCAACTTGCTAAATCTGATGTACCTGGCATCTCTCTGATCAAGTTGAGTTATATGTACTAATGTATGCTGACAATAATGTAATGCTGCAACTCAGTGTATTTGTTTTTGTTACAATAATGTAATTCTTGCTGATATGCCACAAATGTTACAAAAGAAAATCAAAATTTTAGAGGAATTCTGTTGTGACTATGGATTAACTATTAATGTTTCAAAAACAAAAGTGATATTCAAGAAGTGTGACAGACTATTACCCAGAGAGAGATGGTCTTTTGATAATCAGCCTATACAAGTTATATTGAATTATGTATACCTGGGAGTATTATTTTCATCTTCTGGACAGTTTTTTTTACAGGCTAAAAATTATAGTATTTGTAAGGCTAAAATAGCACTGGGTTCTATGTGGCCTATTCTTTCAAAAGCTAAAATTAATTTTGCTCATATTTATATAAAATTATTTCACTCAATGATTTTATCTGTACTACTTTATGCTGCTCCTATATGGGCAAATACTTATCACGATAAAATGGAAATTGTTCTTGCCTTATATCTTTAAAGAATTTTTATATTATATCATAAAATTCCAGCTTACATGATGAGATTGGAGTTTGCTGTTTCTAGAATATCAGTATCTATATTTATAATCGAGAAGAGTTGATAATGATAATAATAATAAAGTGCAAAGCCCAAACGGTTAGGAGTTGAAAGTTGAAATTTTGTACACAGTTAGGGTACGTCACAAAAACACACACTAAAGGCTGGTATACACGGTAAGGAAATCCTTTGAGGATTAACTGTGATTTTTTTTCTATCTATCCATTTTTAAATAAAAATAATTCTTTATACGTTGGGAGATATTTTAATAAGTTTTGTAAATTACTATGTTTGATCCAGCCAGTTATATCCGAGTTTTTTTTCATCTGTTAAGCACATTCTTTGAGGATTTCCTTACTGTGTATACCAGCCTTTTAAGAAGGGATTTTTCAAAATCCCCCGGGGGGGACAGGATTAAGGCTTAACACTTCCGTCAACAATAGAAGTGTTAAGTAACAATGGAATTGTTAGGAGAAAGCGCCGTGCGAGACGCAGATGCAGTTTTTTTCATTTTTGCGGGAAATCGAAAATATTTTTAGACCCATCTAAAAATTCTCTAATTAGTCTGGAAACGGGGGACCCAATTCTTGGAAAACGGGTAAGATTGACTATAATGTAATAATCTTAATCTTTGCTATCGTTGCTTTTCCCTGAGCAATGCCGGGCCTACCTGCTAGTTAATAATAAAAGCAATAATTTCTTTTTGGATTAGACTGTTCAAACTATATGATAAGAGTTATATCAAGTTAGCATATAACAAACTGTATAAATTATGTTTAATGATGGATAATTATACATATAATTGGACATTGGCATTGAAAAATCTGTTAGATTGACACAATTTCTCATTTCTATGGTTAAGATACTCACTTGATTGAAAGTTATCAAACACTAATTATAAAAGTGTGTTGTGAACAGAGCATACAAGAAGATTGGTTTTTGTTGGAAAAGAACAAGCATTTTCAATTATAAGTTGTTTTAAAAATACAATATATGTGTGAGGATTATTTGATTATGGACATAAATTATTATATAAAATGATTAATTCTATACCTAAGATGTGGTCAAAATTATATTATGATGTATAATACTAGACTAATAATCAGGATGGATAAAGTTTAAGAAACAAAATTTGGCATGGTAGCTTGTCTATAAAGGGGTATTAATGCTGTTAAATTTTGGTTTTTAATTAAAGGTCAATAGAGTGGAGATATAGAAGGGGTTAACTGATTATGGATTTACCATAGGTTTTTATGGGAATTTGATTAATTCATTCTGGAGACCCCAAAAAATAAAAAATATATACTTTCTTACTACATTTATTTATATGTAATAATAAAAATATGTATCTACACAGTCTTGCATTTTTATTAGTCATGTTTTTTTCGTTTGTGGGGGGCTAAAGAATCTGTCTAAGGTCAATTGCTTTTCTCTCTCCAGGATTTTTCAGAAGTAATTAATAGCATTGTAAATGTAGAGATCCCTAAGCCTATTAACCTCAACCTGGTTTGGGTGCCATTCTAAGACCATGTTATAACATCCTCCCTGTTTAAAAGATCTTTAATAGCAGATATTGGTATTAATCCTCTTTTTTCAGAAGAAAACATTTTGTCGAGTTTCTTGGTGTTATTCATTCAAGAGTTCTTGGCATTCTTCTGTCGTCAGATCCATTTCAGGTTCCATTATGAGCTCTTCAATTTTTTTTATTTCTTAGATGTGAGTTTTGTTACTCCATTAGCTGGTTGATTATACAGTATCTTTCTTAATAATGTTGAACTGCAGCCTACTGTAGACCTGTTCAAGCCATACTGCCCAGCAATGTCAGACATCATCTGCCCACTCTCTACCTTTGCTATTATGCTCTCACCTTTTGAAAATAAAAACCGACGCAAAACTTAACAAGTGCCTGCCCGACAGTCTCGCAAATATTATTAAAAAAAATTGTTTGTCAGAAAAATAAAAGGCTGGAATTACAAGGGAGAGTTTCAAAGTTTGAAGACGGAATACTATTTGATCAGTATATACTGGATTGAGCGTTGATGTCGATGTCTCCTGCACTCTGAAAAGTTTTGAATTGTTGCCTGAAGACAAGGGAAGACCAATTGATATTCATTATTTTATGTCACTTCTTCTTGTGTTTGTTCTGTGAGGTGTTCATTGTCCAAACATAAAAATCTTTTACAAAAGTGTTCATTATCTGATTTGTTTGTAGTCCAAACTGTTCATTAACTGATCACCTACTGTAATTTCTTTGATGTAAATCATGACAGAAAATTATCAGCTGAATTTGTTTTATTAAATAAATGGATATGAATTAACTTACAAGGTAACCATAATTTAATCCAGCAAAGGACTTTAATTCTCAGCACAAACATTTTTATTCTACACCTAAGATCTGCTTCAAATTTTGAATATTTATTCTATAAAAGGATTAGATTATGGTTACCTTGTGTGTTAATTGATTTCTAATCCAGTTTTAAGAAGAAATTTTTCAAAATGGATATGTTCACAACAAAAAATATGAATAAAACTTAAAAAATTATAACAATTATAGCAGAACATCATTATATTGCTGTCTTTGATTATTTTAGAAATAATCATTTTAAGCATAACAAATATTTGTTGATCTATGCCATTTTTTATGCTTGCTGGGAACAAATTTATCAGTGAAAAGAGATTTTTTTTATTTATTTATTGATAGAATGTGGGTTCAGAAAAACAACTATTAGTGGTAATGTTAAACTCATTGTTGAATATGAAAGTTAATGTAAAAATGGATTATTTAGAATTTTATCATTTTCCTAAATCAGTCAGATTTAAAATATTTGATGAGCAAATGAAAAATACAGTATTTGTGAATTGCTTTATTGACAAGACTATGTCTTGTTTATAAAATCATACTGCTCGATGTTCTTACCAGCATAGAGGTATGAAGGAGTACATGTCGAGAGTTGATATTTGGCACAAAGTATTAGGTGCCCAAATCATTTGCGCACAAAAAAATCCAGACTCGTAGGTAGTCGGGACCGAGAATCGAGTCAAAATAAAATACAAAATGGTGACCCTCTTCTACAAACAGGCAAAACAGCCACCTCACCCCACTGAAGTCAGTCAGGGGAGAGTATCACCCACAGTCATTCTAAGAAGTGAACTCTGACCTTAGGACTGAACATGTAGTTTATTCTATGTTAAATAAAATTTGTAATCTAATTTTGTAAATTTGGGAGTGCTTCAAATATGATGTTAAAACGGTTTTATGTCGTTACAAGTGGGTTTTTTTTAACATTATCTAGTCGTAGGACCGATAAAAATTTGACGTTATATTAGGGTTGTCATTACATTTTATGACATTATAATCGGGTTAAACTGTATATTGTTTGTGCAAAATATAAAAAAAATTTTGGACGATATAATAGCCATGATTATTTTTTTCAAAAACGAGAACTTTTCGTTACACATTGACAAAAATTGAACCTGGGCCAACATGCAACGGAGAGAAATTTTTAAATTAGATAAGTTAATTTCATTGAAGATGCATTGTGGACAATCTCGTGGTCATGGCCGGCAAAGTTTGAATGATCGCGCCCAAAAGCAGCGATATCAAAGAATATGGGAGACTGAGAATGAGACCTGCCTTGAGCATCAAAGTGATTCCGTCTTCGAGACATAGTCTTGTCCCAAATACGGTTTTGCCATTTTACTTGTTAGTAATTAATAAGGTAAAGTTTATCATATTTATGTTTTTAAGATCTGTTATTAAGCAGAATAATTTTTTAGGTATTAATTGGAAGAAGTAACATTGCAACAGTTCAGATCATATCAACTTTAGTTTCTCGAATTCATGCAAAATTAAAATTGGAAGAAAATCAATGGCAAATTCAAGATACAAAAGTAAGTTTTAGTATTTATTAGATATTTAAGATATTTTGAATTCTTCATTATCTAAATTCATTGTTACTAGTACTAGTTTTTTGTAATGTAATTTCAAAAATATTTGACAGTCTTATCAAGTTTAAATTCAAAATATTCAAATTTAAAAACAAGTTTTAACAAATAGCAGTAATCTTTGAGAACAGTTTTTTAGATTCAAAAATATATTCTTACACTGCTGGCCATTAAAATTGCAACACTAGGAAGGAATGATCGTACGAACGTCAAAATCATATGAAAGGAAGAAGAGGTTGGGATATGCAAATGATTAATATATCAGCTCATTTAGATGATGCAGGAGGGACAAATGACATCTGAAGCACTGCATAAAAGAAAAGTTGTGAGGTGGATTTCTCATTCAGAAATTGCTTTGTAAGGTTGGGGTTTCTTCAGAATATCATGTTATGCCTCGAATAAGAACAATAAATGCTTACCAGCAAGTGTCGAAATTCAGTAGAGGCAGGTTCGTTGTCTATCGAGTGTGTGGATTATTGTTCTGTGATATTGCCACTCGCACTCGTCAGAATCCAACTACTGTCATGCGAATATGGAATCGATGGGTTGCTGAGGGTCTTACTGAACGACATGCAGGATCTCAGCGCCCTCCCATGACTAACGCCCGAGAGGACAGACATATTATGAGGTTGGCCATGCAAAACCGTACAATTACATCACAGACCATTAGTCAGGAAATGAGCTTGTTTGCAGCATGTCCAGTATCTACTCATTTGGTGCAATGATGTTTGCAGCAGCATTGACTGTCAGCACAGCGACCATTACTTCAGCTTCCTTTGACAATGCAGCATAGAAAGAGTCGGCAACTCTGGTGCGCCCAACGACAAAACTGGATACAAAAGTGGCACAATGTCGTCTTTTCGGGTGAGTCCCGGTTCTGCGTGCAGCATTCTGATGGCTGTATACGTGTCTGGAGGCTCTGTGGAGACCACTCGTCACCTGCTTGCATTCAATATCAACATAGGGGCCCTGCACCTGGTATGATGATATGGACAGCCATTGGGTACACGACATGCACATCTCTAGTTTGGATCGACGGTAACTTGAATGCAGATCGGTACATTTCTGACATCTTACGTCCAGTGGTTGTGCCCTATCTTCGAGGCTTGCGAAATGCCATCTTCCAACAAGATAATGCAAGATCTCATGTTGCACATCGTGTTCTGACCTTCCTCGATACAGAGGGTATTCGATTTTGCCCTGGCCTGCTCGGTCTCCAGATCTCTCGCCAATTGAAAACATCTGGTCATGGGGGTTGCTGAGAGACTGGCCTGCCACCCCTCTCCAGCTAATACGGTTGATGAAGTGTAACATAGACTTGAAGCAGCATGGAATGAGTTGCCCGTTTCTGTCATCCAGGCCCAGTTCGACTCCATGGCTAAACGGATAAGGGCCGTTTTAGCTGCCAGGGGTGACAACTGTGTCTACTAATTTCGTACCCCTGTAAATCCCCAAACTGCTTGCAAATTTAATCATTTTGTCTTCATGCTATACTGTTTACGTACAATAAGTATCTTTTTTTTATTTACTTTCCTTCTTGGTGTTGCAATTTTAATGGCCAGCAGTGTATTTATATTTTTAAAGTTTTGTATTGTTTTTACAGCTTGGATTTGAAGATAGAGTAGAACAACATTGAAGATGTTTAATCCATATACGAGGGCGGTTTTTTTTTCAAGCTCCGATGGCAACAAGGCAAGTATAAATAACATAAAACAAAGGCAAGTATAAATAACAAAATGAATTTATTACCAAAAATTATGTACAAACATGGTGACTTTTCAACATAATCACCATGAAGATTGATGAATTTGTCATATCTGTGGATGAGCTATTCCATCCCCTTGTCATAGAATGTTGCCACCAGTGAATTGAGATGGCCTTAACAACGTTGTTTTGAAGATCATCATTAGTCTCAAACCTCTGCCCTGCTAGCTACATTTTCAGTTCAGGAAAGAGGTGTAAGTCTTCACACATTAAAAGTTTTAAGCTGGATGGAAGTCTGAAAAGTGGAAGTCTTCACCACCTTTGAACACCCAGCATATAGTCCAGATTTAGCACTGAGCAACTTCCACATCTTTCCTGAACAGTAAAAGTGGCTAGGAGAGCAGAGGTTTGAGACTAATGACAATCTTAAAAAAGATGTTAGGGCCCATCTCAAGTCATTCGAGGCAACATTCTATGACAAGCTTGTCCACAATATGACAAATGCCTCAATCTTCACAGTGATTATGTTGAAAAGTAATCATGTTTGTACCTAACTTTTGGTAATAAATTCATTTTGTTATTTACACTTGTTTTTTTTTATTTACCATCAGAGCTTGAAAAAAAACAGCCTACATATAAAATTTTGATTTTTATAAACTAAGATTTTTTAAAATTTAAACTAATATTTTCTTAGGTAAATCAAGTTTAAATTGATATTTAAGTACATGTGAAAAATATTGTAAATATATTTATAAATTTTTCAAGATTATATAGATAATTAATCTATATATATAAAATTGTCCTGACTGACTCACTCACTGATTCATCATCACCCAGAGCAAACCGCTGAACCTAAAGAGGTGAAATTTGGTACACAGGTAGGGTACATCATGAAAACGCACACTAAGAAGGGATTTGTCAGAATTCCTCAGCGGGGGAGAGGAAGAGCATTAAGGCTTAACCGGAAGAACAGTTTCTACTGTAATATTTTAGATGCAATTTTTTGTTTCTAACTGTGTTTTAGTAGGGCACGCCATGAGAATGCACACTAAGAAGGGATTTGTCAAAATTCCCCAGCAGGGGGAGAGCATTTCATTTCAGACATTGTTATAAATATTTTTATATATTTCGATTTTTTAACCAAATGTTCGAACCATTTTAAATTCAAATTTGTTATTGCATATTGGTTCGATTATAGAACAATTGTAAACGTTCCAGAAAATTCGTCAAATTGAAAACATTTTGTTTGATTCTTGGCAATTCTCATCATTCTCAGTGATAGGTGTTATATAACAATTACTAAGGTTATTGAAATACTGAATATAAATAGGGTTTGCAAGCAAACCCTATTTATATTCAGTATTTCAATAACCTTAGTAATTGTTATATAACACCTATCACTGAGAATGATGAGAATTGCCAAGAATCAAACAAAATGTTTTCAATTTGACGAATTTTCTGGAACGTTTACAATTGTTCTATAATCGAACCAATATGCAATAACAAATTTGAATTTAAAATGGTTCGAACATTTGGTTAAAAAATCGAAATATATAAAAATATTTATAACAATGTCTGAAATGAAATNTTACGTACAATAAGTATCTTTTTTTTATTTACTTTCCTTCTTGGTGTTGCAATTTTAATGGCCAGCAGTGTATTTATATTTTTAAAGTTTTGTATTGTTTTTACAGCTTGGATTTGAAGATAGAGTAGAACAACATTGAAGATGTTTAATCCATATACGAGGGCGGTTTTTTTTTCAAGCTCCGATGGCAACAAGGCAAGTATAAATAACATAAAACAAAGGCAAGTATAAATAACAAAATGAATTTATTACCAAAAATTATGTACAAACATGGTGACTTTTCAACATAATCACCATGAAGATTGATGAATTTGTCATATCTGTGGATGAGCTATTCCATCCCCTTGTCATAGAATGTTGCCACCAGTGAATTGAGATGGCCTTAACAACGTTGTTTTGAAGATCATCATTAGTCTCAAACCTCTGCCCTGCTAGCTACATTTTCAGTTCAGGAAAGAGGTGTAAGTCTTCACACATTAAAAGTTTTAAGCTGGATGGAAGTCTGAAAAGTGGAAGTCTTCACCACCTTTGAACACCCAGCATATAGTCCAGATTTAGCACTGAGCAACTTCCACATCTTTCCTGAACAGTAAAAGTGGCTAGGAGAGCAGAGGTTTGAGACTAATGACAATCTTAAAAAAGATGTTAGGGCCCATCTCAAGTCATTCGAGGCAACATTCTATGACAAGCTTGTCCACAATATGACAAATGCCTCAATCTTCACAGTGATTATGTTGAAAAGTAATCATGTTTGTACCTAACTTTTGGTAATAAATTCATTTTGTTATTTACACTTGTTTTTTTTTTATTTACCATCAGAGCTTGAAAAAAAAACAGCCTACATATAAAATTTTGATTTTTATAAACTAAGATTTTTTAAAATTTAAACTAATATTTTCTTAGGTAAATCAAGTTTAAATTGATATTTAAGTACATGTGAAAAATATTGTAAATATATTTATAAATTTTTCAAGATTATATAGATAATTAATCTATATATATAAAATTGTCCTGACTGACTCACTCACTGATTCATCATCGCCCAGAGCAAACCGCTGAACCTAAAGAGGTGAAATTTGGTACACAGGTAGGGTACATCATGAAAACGCACACTAAGAAGGGATTTGTCAGAATTCCTCAGCGGGGGAGAGGAAGAGCATTAAGGCTTAACCGGAAGAACAGTTTCTACTGTAATATTTTAGATGCAATTTTTTGTTTCTAACTGTGTTTTAGTAGGGCACGCCATGAGAATGCACACTAAGAAGGGATTTGTCAAAATTCCCCAGCAGGGGGAGAGCATTTCATTTCAGACATTGTTATAAATATTTTTATATATTTCGATTTTTTAACCAAATGTTCGAACCATTTTAAATTCAAATTTGTTATTGCATATTGGTTCGATTATAGAACAATTGTAAACGTTCCAGAAAATTCGTCAAATTGAAAACATTTTGTTTGATTCTTGGCAATTCTCATCATTCTCAGTGATAGGTGTTATATAACAATTACTAAGGTTATTGAAATACTGAATATAAATAGGGTTTGCAAGCAAACCCTATTTATATTCAGTATTTCAATAATCATAGTAATTGTTATATAAAACTTCCACAGGCGAGTCATGGGTAACAGCTAATATTTTATATAAAAATGCATAGACACATATACAATAGTACACAATTGGTTTCTTATGCTAATAAATCCTATAAAAGCATACTAAAATATCACATTGATTACTACTACTTTGAGATTAATCTTTTTGTAAAATACAAAACTCTAAAGAAAAAATTTGACATTAAATTGTATTGTTATTGATAAAACAATTACAGTAGAGCGTCGATTTTCCGAATCAATTGGGAACTGGGGTTGTTCATATAACTGATATTTCGGATAACCGATTTATGTACGAAAAAATAGTTTAACATATCCGNTCATTGTATTCTAGAGTGTAAATGGGATTTATATAAATGAAAAAAGGCTGAAATCTGAAGCTGTGCAAATTTTAAATATTGGTGACATTATATGTCTTGGACCACCTAACAAATCTGAATTTAAATTTCGTTTTTCTGAATTTATTTCCTTAAATGATTCTTCAGATTATGGATCACCTTGTAAAAAAAGAAGTAAACAATCTTTTCAGGTAATAAATAATAATGATAGTGTGTATAATATTGTTATCAATAAATTTAAAATAAGTATTCCATGTGTTTATGTATATAGCAGACATGGGCAAATGCAACTCTTTTTGAGTTACATGCGACTCTTGCTGAAAGTGTTAATTTCTGTTTTTATTATTATTTTTACAATTTTATTTCCACAATTTTGTGAAAATATGTTGATTAAAAAAATTCAATACTTGTTTTATATTATACTAGCTTACCCGTCGCACATTGCTGCGATCTCAGAAGAAAGGAAATTCAAGCAAACTCGTGGCGGGTACGTGTTTTCTGATAAGTTATTTTTCTGCGAAAAATTCGCTAAACTTTGGAGACATCATTAATATAAATATAATTTTTATGGCCATTAAATAATAAATGGTTTTTAGTAGGTCCGCTGCTCGTTTAAACTCAACGGTTTGTGCAATATCTGCTATTGGTCTAGATTCGACCGATCCTGTCGCAACACGAGTCGGCGATGACATTTTACCAAATTATAGGAGTTTTTT